TTGAAAGAAGTTCTAATATTTTAGAATTGATTCATAGTGACTTGTGTGACTTTTATAATACACCTTTTTTGGGGAATAAAAGATACATAGTTACATTTATAGATGATTATTCAAGGTTTTTCTATGTGTATCTTTTATTTTCCAAAGATGAAGCTTTGGTAAAGTTTGATATTTATAAAAGGGAAGTAGAAGTGCAAGTAGAGTCATTTATTAAGAGAATAAGAACCGATAAGGGAGGAGAGTATTATGATCCAACTTATTTCCAATCTTTGGGTATAATTCATGAGACTACAGTGGGTTATGCGCCACAATCAAATGGTGTAGCTGAAAGGAAAAATAGAACTCTTTAAGAAATGGTTAATTCCATGTTATCTTACTCCAGTTTGAGTGAAGGGTTTTGGGGTGAAGCAATGCTGACAGCTTGTCACATTCTTAAACGGGTTCTCACTAAGGGAAAACAATCTACTCCTTATGAACTTTGGTACAAAAGAAAACCAAACTTGAAATACTTGAAAGTTTGGGGTTGTAGGGCAATTGTTAGAGTGCCCGGTAATAAAAAGAGAAAGCTCGGTGAAAGGGGCTTGAATTGCATTTTTATAGGTTATGCTGAGCATAGTAAAACCTATAGGTTCTATGTAATAGAACGAAATGACTACATATCGATACATTCGATTATTGAGTCAAGAGAATGCAATTTTTGATGAAAACTGATTTTCATCAATGAGTAGACCTAGAGATCTACAAGTTAGTACCAATGGAAAGGAGATTGTTGAGTTTGATGATCAACATAAATCTCATGAATGTTCATTCGATAATGAGAATGAGACTTCTCATGTTAGAAGAAGTAAGAGACAAAGGAGACCTAAGAACCTTGGTGATGACTTTATAATTTATTTAGTTGAAGGTTCTAGGGATGTCCTTAGCTCAACTACTCCATATTGTTTTAATGTGGATAGTGACCTAAAGACTTATAGCGAGGCAATATCTTCTCAAGATAGTGCATTTTGGAAGGAAGCTATAAATGATGAGATAGATTCCATCATGGGAAATAATACTTGGGTCTTAGATGATTTACCTCTCGGTTGCAAACCTCTTGGTTGCAAGTGGATTTTCACTAGGAAAAGGAGATCGGATGGCTCCATAGTGAAATTTAAAGCCAGATTGGTTATTCAAGGCTTTAGACAAAACCATGGTGTTGATTATTTTGATACCTATGCACCGGTTGCAAGAATTACCTCCATAAGGTTATTGCTTGCAATGGCTTCGGTTTATAATCTAGTGATTCATCAAATGGATGTCAAAACGGCATTTTTATATGGTGAAAAAGAGGAAGAAGTGTATATGAAACAACCCGAAGGTTTTGTTTTGGAAAGACAAGAGAATAAGGTGTGTAAATTGGTTAAGTCTTTGTATGGACTTAAACAAGCACCAAAGCGATGGCATCGGAAATTTGATGACACGATATTGTCCTTTGGATTCAAAGTGAATTAAGCTGATAAGTGTATATATAGAAAATTTGATGACAAAGGTCATGGTGTTATCATTTGTCTATATGTTGATGATATGCTTATATTTGGTACAAGTCTACAACAAGTAGAAATAACCAAGGAATTCTTATCCTCATCTTTCCAGATGAAGGATTTGAGGGAGGCGGATGTCATTTTTGGCATCAAAATAATTAGGGACAATGGAAGACTTATTTTAAGTCAATCTCATTATTTTGAGAATATGATCAAACGATACAATATGTTTGATAAGAGTCTTGTAAATACCCTCATGGAACATAATGTTAAATTGGTTAAGAATTCGAGGAAAACGGTTTCCCAATTGGAATTTTCAAGGATAATTGGATCCTTGATGTATGCCATGAAAAGTACAAGACCAGATATTGCATTGGCTGTAGGAAAACTTAGTAGATTTACTAGTAACCCGGGTGTACAGCATTGGTTTGCAATTCGGAGGGTCTTGAGGTACCTTAAGGGTACATTGGATTATGGTTTGACTTATAGTGGATTTCCTTCGGTTTTAGAAAGGTATTCGGATGCAAGTTGGATCACTTACAAAGAGGATGACTCTTCTGTTAGTGGTTAGGTGTTTATGTTTGGGGAGGTGCCATTTCATGGTCTTCCAAGAAACAAACTTGCATTGTCGATTCCACTATGGCAGTGAAGTTTATAGCTCTAGCTTCAGCTAGTAAGGAAGCTGAATGGTTGAGAAATCTCATGTTAGAATTGGCTTTATTGCCAAAGCCTATGTCACCGATGGCTATTCATTGTGATTCTAATTCGGCATTGATAAAGGCATATAGTTAAGTGTATAATGGTAAGTCTCGACATATTTCTCTTAGGCATAGCCTAGTGAAAGAGCTTATCACTAATGAGGTCATAAGTCTTGACTATGTTCCTACAAAATTGAATTTGGCGGATTGCTTTATTAAAGCAATGCCAAGGCATTCCATCATCTTTTCTTTGGATGGAATGGGTTTATGTCCAAGAAACACGAATCTGTGAAACCCAATCAAACGCTTGAAGAAACATCAAGTCTTAGATTCAATGTGGTTAAATTGCAATTTTGATGTTTGATAGCAATGTTTTGTGACCCATATATCTATGATACTTGTGATGTTATTAGGTAGCGTTTATTTAAAGTTCTCCAGATTTAAAGTTGAGAAATTCTAGATGAAGGTGTCTTATCACAAGGGCACTATTACGTATGTGAGAACCTACCTATGTAAGTTCGAAATTTAGCCGCCTCAAGAAGTCTAGATGGACATATTGACTTTGATGAACTTATGAAAGATACGGACTCATTGTTGTATAAAAGTATCAAGTGATGTTAAATTCGATTTGTCTTGTGTGTATTTCACCTTCGAGTGGTCAGAGATATTCGTGTGATTCAATCCATAGGGAAATCATGGGATATGATCATCATTAAGTGTGTTGTACTAGGTGTCAATTCAATCCGTAGGGACATTGGCATTGATGCATGAGATGTGGCTTAATCGATCAAAGTGGAGAAAGTTTTAAAAAGTATACACTCTAAATGGGGGAGGATTGTTAGTAATTTAAAGTGCATGTGGGAGAGCCCTCTCCAAGGGAAGTCGCGCCCGCGGTGGCTGGGGAGAGCCCTTTCCAAGCCCGCGGCTAGCCTTCTCTAGAATTCAGAGGGTGAATTGTATTTCACCCTGTCCGTGCCCGCGGCTTGGACAGCTGTGCTCGCGGCCCTGGACAGCCGCGCCCGCGGCCCTTCGGCAGTTTGCGATTTCTTTCGTTCTTTTTATTGTAAAATTGAAACGAAGAAAGAGATTGATTTCAGTTTTTCTCTCCTCCCCAAAGTTATTCTCTCCACACTTTATTTGAAGAAACTTGCAAGCTCTTCATCTAAATCTCTATCAATAAAGTTTTCCTTTGAGAATTTAATCACTTACTACAAATCTTAGTGCAAAGATCGTAGTGTCGTCTATTGTATCTCAAAGTGACTTTCCGGTTCAACCCAAGCACCATTGTGGGGGAAATAATCACTTTAGGAAAATGTTTACACGCCTTAGACGAGTATCAAGCATTGGAGACTTACGTGGTCGCATCTATTCTCATGTTCTTGTTGTTTTTCGTAGGCTTGGAGTAAGGCAAATTATTATCTTTCACACTTGTTGTTTAGCTCGTAAATTTCCTGTAATTTACTTAATTAAATTTATTAGTGCTTGGTTTGTATATTATTATTTGTAATTGAACATTGTTTTTTTAGGTTTTGTTCCCACAAATTTGTAGTACTAGAAGTTTTGTACTAGGAAAACCTAACACTTATAAGGGTGTTCGCAAGGTCTAACCCAGAGAACACTACCCAAACTTGCTTGGATTTAAGGTACAATTGATGAACGAAATTGGGGCTTATGAAAACCAGGGAAGCAAGTATAAAAGGAGGCCTTCGGAAAAGAAATCGAAGCTAACATCCTCTCGTTGAATTGGCATAACGTGGAGAAGAAAAATGATACCTTATGATTTTGTATACAGTATAGTTAGACCAAATTTATCCCATTTTAACATATTAACATTTGTTGTGTTAAGTTGACTAGACTTTTAATTGGCCTATACATAGCCTTGCAACCTCAAATTTTTGTTCCAAAAAGCAAGCCTAAGGGTTTAGTGTAGTGAGGTACCTTAGCAACACTAGCACCCATTCACCCCTTAAGAACATTCACATAGAGTAGTCTAACGTGTAATGTAGGAGCCGTCAGTTCACACCATGGTTATAGAAAACTTAGCACCTTAGAGAACCACAATTTAACATAACCAAGCCAAGAGAACTGACAAGCTAAAGTCGTATTACCTAATCAAAAGTAATTCCTAAAACCACTAACTAAAATAGATAGGGAAGTAGGGTCGTATCCACAGGGAAACAAGTCTTTCTATTCCTAATAAATTAATATAATCTAAATTATCACGAAACAAGTAAGAATTGTGAGAATTATACTATAGGCTATAATTAAACTAAGGGAATAATCAATAATAAAAAGCCTAGGGTATAGGTTCACCAATAAATAATATTCTTGGGTAAAACACAATAATCAATTATCAATGCATCAATTGATCAGATCATAAAGGGATTTCTCTACGTATTACAATCACAGAATTAATCTACCAATATTAAATCGCATCTCTCGAATCTTGACTTAACCATTTATAATTTAACCTGCCTATTGAAACTAATCCTAAACATTAATCTCATCTCTCAAATCTCGAATCAATATTGCGTAACTCATACAATTAAACCAGCGCTAATCTAATTGCGTAGTATTAAATTAATCAATAGGAAATTAACCAAAGCATTAAAAATCAATAACAATAAATTACCCCTTCATATTATTTATGGATCTCCAAAACCCTAGAATTAAACTACTCATACATAATTAAAACTAAACTAATCAAAGCAATTAAGCAAAGCATAATTAATCAAAGCAATTAAATTACTGAAAATAAAAGGGGAAGAAATCTATACCAAAATAAATGGAAATAATGAATTGCATAAAACTCATGGTGTAGAGAGAGATAATAAGAGTATTAACTAAAAGCCTAAAACTAAAAACTGAGAATTAACTAATGAGAAGACATCCCCCTATCTAACTTAACTAAAACATATTTATACTTAAGCACAAAAATCCTATATAAAAACAAATTATAATCGTCGAAATCCTCCTAAAAACACACGCCCGGTCGGGCGAAGCTTTGCACAGCCGGGCCCGCATTTTTGGTGAGATGATCTTCACTCGCGCCCGGTCGGGCGCGAGACAAGGAGAAGGACTGCTTCCCTTCCTTCTGACCCGACCGGGCGCCCCTTAAGGCGAGGGCACTCCCCGGTCGGACGAGCTCTTGGGCATCATGGACTTCTTCAATTAGGCTATTTCTTAGTCCGATTCGCATTTCCTCTTTGGGGCCTTAAAGCTCGGCCCATTGCCTCGAACTCTTCTTTTTCACTGAGCCCTTAATCACCGGTTTGATAACTCTAACCGGCCTTGGGCTTCGGAATGTGGTCATATGAATGTGATCCTACTCTAATGCTCGTAGTGGCTCAAATAAGTCTAGGAAAATGCTCCAAATCTGCAACATCCTATAAAACAATGCCAAATCTACGAAAACACTAGAAAACACATATTAGTAATAAGAGTGTCTCTAAAGAGCCAAGAATACTCTCAAATATGACCAAGTGACGGGGGTAAAACACCATATAAAATGAACATATCAAGAACACAACGTTCAATTTACTTAATCCACACCTAGCCTTGATGATCGTTGAAGACCACCCTGAAATTCCATCAATGATCCTTAACATGGATCAACAAGGTGCGAGAGGGTCGCTACAAATATCATAAGAAGAACATTATCAATCTTTGATTGTGCAAGCATATCCTTCCTAATACATAACTAGAGGGTAAAATTACTACGTTACAATACCTCGAGTTCTCAAACATGTAAGGGCAATTGCACTGCAATTGATCAGTTACAGTGACCAAACTAGCTTTTAGTAATAAACTAATAACATTATATAAATGCAGCTCGACCACACTTTTTATATAGCATTGTGCAGTAAATCATTTGTAAAATATATGCATATTATTACACCTTTATAAATTCATATAGAACTGCATTAGCAAAATCAACTTAAAAATTATATACATAAACCCTCAAATGCAATCATATAAAAACGCAGACTAGAACGGATTTTTGTAAAAAAAATTACTTCAAAGAAATGCACATCAATTACCCAGATGTAAAATTCATACTTCGCATTAAATAAGAAAACCCTAAAACAAAATTAAAGACCTAGTAAATTAGATTAAAAAAATTACCTCGCAATTGCCTGGAGAGTTTTTGAAATCTATGAATGTTGGCCACCTAAATTGAAACCAAAAAACACTAATCAACCAAACAGTGAAGATTATAAAAAGTAAAATTAAAAACAACGAAGATAAAGATTTCAACCTTAATGTTGGCAATAGGAGAAGGGGAATTGAAATTGTCGAAAATAGAAGCGGCAGCGCACGTGATTGCAAGAATGGTGACTGCTAGAGTTAGCAGCGCAGTAGCTCTGTTTGCAAAAGAATGCATCTTTGAACTTTGATGCGAATTTTCTCTCTCTTAAATCCCTAGAGTTAGAAAAGCTGTTAGGGGTGTTAAATTTTGGGAAAACTCCTCAAGTTGGAGTGTGTACCATTGATCAATAAATATAGATATTACAATACTAGTTCTAGTTACGTTAGAAAACCTAGTACGATAAGGATACAAAATATACAGCAAATCTATCCTAATCTGCGACAAATATTATCATAAATTTAATATCTATTAGGGGTAGTGATCAGGAGGGAGATTGTTAAAGGGGACTAATTTAAGGGGGAAACTGTTAGGGGAGACTAAATAGTAACAGGTTTGGTATTATTATGGAGCACTAACGCTCAGGCGCGTCCCCCCGGCTAAGGAAGGAGGGGCGGCCGCCTAGGCCTAGGAAGAAAAAGGTCCAATTTCATAGCTCCATCCTAACATTAAAGGGTTTTACATCACATTAGCCACCAAATTTGATTAAATTATCAAATTAGGCTCCAAAAATCACATAATTTTAGGGAAAGAAGGTCACATTCATAGTTCCATCCTAACATAAAAGAAAATTTGATTCAACAATCAAAATAAGCTTCAAAAATCACATAATTTTAGGTATAAAAGTTCCCAATTCATAGTTCCATCCTAACACTAAATGCAAATATGTTTCAATAATCAAATTAGGCTCGAAAAATCATAAAATTAAAAGAAGAAAAGTCCGATTTTGAGCATTCATAATTCCATCATAACAAAAAGGAAAACTTGTTTCAATTATTAGGCTCGAAAAAATCAAATAATTTTCTTCTTTAGCATGAGAATCACTGGTTATGATCTTTCATAACCTTAGTAATAATTAATAGTTCAAAATCGACTTTGAATTAACTATAGTGAGAATTAAATTGACGATAAACCCTAAATTGCGAAATTAATATATGGTTATTACAATACGAAACATGATGTTACCTCTCTCAGAAGCTGCATGAGAATCACTTGTTATGATCTTTCATAACCTTAGTAATTATAACTAATAGTTCAAAATCGACTTTGAATTAACTATACTGAGAATTAAATTGACGATAAACCCTAAATTGCGAAATTGATATATGGTGATTACAATACGAAACATGATGTTACCTCTCTCAGAAGCTGCTTCAATGGAGATTGTGGAGTAGGCTTCGATGAGAAAGCAGGAGAGAGGAATATTTCTCAGTAATTCAGTATTTTTTTTTTCTTTTTTTTTTGTAAACAATCACGAAATCCAAGAGGAACTTGGAAAAAATATCACAGATGTTTTTGTCTTTTAGCATTTAAAAATAAGGGCTCCCTTGTAAACAATTGTAATATGATTATGACTATACGTCTATACTCATCTTTGTTTGTAGTAACTTTTAAATGGAAAAAGCTAACAAACAATTGTAATATGATTATGACTATATGTCTATACTCGTCTTTGTTTATAGTATCTTTTAAATGGCAAAAGCTAACAAACGTCCTGAGGGCGTTGGATAAGGTAAGTTAAAGTAGAATTATTAACTTGAAATAAACATTAATTACACCGATCGATGCGTGATTTTGGCATGTATTCCCAAATTAATACTATATTAGAAAATATTTAAAGGGTTATCCAACGACCCAGGAGCGTTCGTTAGCAAGATCCTATTTGCGTAGTATTATAAAATATATTGTTAATTTCTTTTCTACAAAAGCAAGCGAATAAGATCACAAAATCTATTAGATAAATATCATATCATATCATATCACATCACATAACTAATAAATAAAGGCGGTCTCGCAGCCAGGCCACGAGACAGTGACACTTGGCATTCCAATTTTTGCCAAGTGTCGAGCCACGTAGGCGACAAATGGATATAATTGTGTTTAGATTCGATGTCATGTTTGATTAGATTGGATAGATTTGTTTAGGATAAAAAAAAGTATACATAAAATAATTTATAATTCTTTTGAAAAAAAATTTATCTTTTTATTGACAATAGAATTTTAGTTATAGCAACACAAAAACATATTATAATTAGAGAAGCTATTGTGTGCGGATATCCGCATCCAAATTTCCGTGCGGATGGCTTGGCTGATATGTTTTACTTGTTGGCTGATGTGTTTCATGTGTTGGCTGATATGTTTCATTTGTTGACTAATATGATTTTTGTGTTGGCTAATGTATTTTTTTTTTTAATTTTTGATAGGTTCCTTTTGTTGGTTGATATTAGACATCATTTGGCTTATATGTTTCATTAGTTGGCTGATATATTTATTTTGTAGGCTGATACGTATATTTTAATTGTTGGCTTATATGTTTCACTTTATTGGCTGATATGTTTATTTTGTTGGCTTACCAGTTGCTTTTGTTTGCTGATTTCATCCTTTTGTTGGCTGATATGCATCCTTTGTTGGCTGATATGTTCCTTTTGTTGGCTGATATACTCCTCTTGTTGGCTTATATGTATCTTTTGTTGGCTGATACGTTTTTATTAATGTCTTTAATTTTGACTGATAAAAAATATTAATTGGCTGATATATTACTTATATTAGTTGATGTAGAAATTATATACAAGTACAAACTATTTTAATTTCATTCTCTCTCCTCTTTCCCCCTCTTCCTCTCTTTCTTTCTCTTCTGTTAGCAGCTTCTCAAACACGACCCTCACTCCATCTCCTTATCCTTCAACCACCGAACCCAGGCCACCGCACCCACAAACCACCGAACCCAAATCACCGCACCCAAAAACCATCGAACCAGGCCATCGCACCCACAAACTACCCAATCGACCACCAATCACCCAATCGACCACCAATCACAAGAAGATCATCCCCTTAATTTTCGGCCACCAAAACTCGCATCCCCACAACAACCACCTACAACTAATCTTCCATTTCACGGTGCCCCGATCTTCCATGTCCATTATTGCCGATCGTCTTGACCCAGAACTCACGTGGCCCGATCTTCCATGTCAGAGGGGGCATTCGAATTCGATCTGTTTGCAGGTGATGGCAGAGGAGAGAGAAAGGTTCACTTTTCTTCTGAAATAGCGAAAATGGAGTTTGACCGCACAAACTATTGGGTACGGACGTCCACACCCAATAGTTTGTGTTATAGTTAATATGAATATTTATGATAATTGAATTTTATTTATAGCAATACACCACATATTATAATTAATATGAATATCCAATTAACAATAGAATTTTAATAAAAAAAAATATGTCCACAAATAAGTACTCTCTCTAAAATGGGTATCCGGGGCAACGCCCGAGGCACGTACTAAGTCAATCTCACAGCTAGACTACGACACAGTGACACTTAGCATTCCAGTTTTTCGCCAAGTGTCACGCCACGTAGGCGAAAAATAGGTATTATTGTGACACTGACACATATTGTAATACCCCGTATTTTTGAAACGTATTTTCTAATCAATTAATTAATTATTATTTTCTAAAAAGGGTATTTTAGTAATTTATTCTACTATTTGAATTTTGGAGCCAAAATGATATTTGAATTACGGGCCCAAAAGTATTTTAAAACCTAATTATTATTTTTGGATTTTGGATAAGATTTGTTATCCATTTATTTTATTTTAAAATCCGGATTATTGATATATATTCAGATATTTTAATTAAGAAAATATTATATTTTATTATTTAATTGGGAGGTCCAAAAATTCCTAATGATTGGATAATAATTTTGGATTTTCCTAGTGTGGAAAATATGATTTTCTTAGCTAATTTATTTAGTGAATAATTGGTATTCTCTTAATTCATTATTTTATACAATATATATTATTTACACAATCATTTTTAATCCATAAAATCTAGCAAAATAACTTCCTATATTCTACTAAAGAGGTCCGAAAATTTAAGCTATGGTAGCTCAAAAATTTCGATCATCTTGGTTGATTTTTGGATGATTTATTTTGGTAATTTGTATTTTTTTTTTAATTATCTCCCTTAAATCTATTATCTTTCCTTAATTCTTATTTCCCATCTCCTAAATATTTGATCATCTTATTTTCCTACCTTATATCATCCTTGATTATTCCCCAAGTAAAGCCATTTGCCATATTATTTTTCATGACAACATACTTTCCATAAATTAATTATTCCTTAGTCACCTTAATATTAAACTTTCCATAATTCTTTAGCTCTCTTCTCCAAGTAATTTCCTTAATTCTTTTTACCGTAATTCTTCCTACATTCTCCTACCATAGTTCTTGCATAAGCTAGCCTATAAATACCCCTTGATCATAGCTAAACACTCACACCAAATTCTCTAATTTTCTCTCTTAATCTCTCTAATTCTCTCCTCTCTTTCTCTTACTTTTCAATTTCCACGCCAACCACCACCACCAAACACCACCTCCACCGTCGGCTTCCACCTGCCACTGACGCTAACCATCGCCACCAACCACAACCGCCGGCAGCCACCAGCTACCGCCCCCTTTGCCGCCACCTTTCTTATCTTTTTTCCTTGGTTTTCTACCTTTTCTTCTTCTCTTCTCTTAATTAATTAATTATTATTATTATGGGGGTTTATAAAAATTATAATAAGTGTTTTGAACTAAATAAAATCAGATTCAAGTTTGTGAAAAATAAATTATAAGGTTCATGTACATATAGTTGGGGGTTTTTAATTTAATTGTTGTGATTATTTGTTAACCTTATATTGATTAAGGTTATATTTATGTGTAGGGTGTGTTTGACAAGAGTGATTGAAGTTTCTTTGTGTGTTGCTAGCAAGGATCAAAGGTACATTTAGGTGGCTAGATACCTTTGAAATTGATTGGATTGAATGAGCATGTTTTATATGATTTTTTATGATGAATGAATTGAATTATGATTTATGAAATAAAGGTATGTTTAAAAAATTGTTTTTAATAAATAAATTGAAGGATTGATTTTATATCATGTTTCGAATAATTAAATTATTTATTATGTTTTAAAAAGGTTTGATTTTGAAAGCATGTTGAATTAAATAAAAAGGAGTTTGAATTGTTATTATAAAGATTGGAAATATTGAATTAAAAAGATTTATTAAATATTATTATTAAAGTTTTACAAGCATGTTGATAGTAATCCCACTATGCGGATTTAGTTGATAAGACTTTAGATTTTGCATGACCGAGTCTTTCCTCAAGAATAGCCTTGCAGTATAAAGAGACTAGTTTGGGGGGTGTGCACACTTTGGTGAGGAATTGGATTCAAAAAGACGAATTGGTTTTTATTAATATTTTTATTTGAAATATTGAATTATTGGAATTGGTTTTGGATAATGAGTTGCAATTATGGATTAATTATTGGAATTGGTTTTTAAAGCATGTTTGCAAATAAATTGAGTTTACTTATCATGCACTTATCGTACTTAGCATATTTTGCTAATCAGTATTTCCTATTTGTTTTGGTTCGCCTTGTTTACCTTAATGGTAAGCAGTGTTGACTATTTTCAGGTGGAATCAATAATTGAGCATATGGGAGTCTCGGGATATTCTTCACCTAGATCTAGGGATGTTGGTCTTTATTTTTATTATGAGTACTCATGACAATGGTTTCTATTTATAGTTATTATTAATAAAGAAAGAGTTTGAGTTTCCGCTGCAAAGTTTCGGTTTTGGTTAGTAGTTTTGGTAGCCTTGCGTAATCACGCGGCAAATACGCCTAAGTCTATCTCTACGGTATAATTATAAGTATTGTACTAGTATTTCCGTAGAGGGAGATTTGAGGGTGTTACACATATGATACTAAGTAAGCGATTTTTGGATAGATTTTTTAAGATAAAAATGTTGTATAGAGTTTTATTATCACTATATTTCTAATATTTCATATACTACCTCCGGTTCTTATTACTCGCAACATTTACTAAAAACATATGGTTCACATTACTCGCAACAAATTGTTTTCTTTCCTATTTTAGTAAGTTTTTTGCTGTGAAATGACGAAATTACCCTTACTTTTTTTTGAAACAACCTTATTAAACTACAAATCTGATTTCATTAGATTAAACCCCAAGATTATCTTATTTACCCTCGTCCCCATTATTTTTCTCTCTCCTTCTCCAACCCCATTCTCATGGTGGGTTCTTAGGCTCAGTTCGATGAGTTCATCGGTGATAGGTTTCAGATCGTGGGTTCGTTGGTGGTTTCAGATCGTGGTTGGTAGGTTCATATCGTGGGTTCGGTGGGTTGTTGCGGCTCGTGGGTTCGGTGGGTTGCTGCAGCTTGTGGGTTCGTGGGTGCGGTGGGTGGTGGGTTCGTGGTTGCGGTATGGTGGTGGGTGGTTTCGTGGGTGCGGTGGTGGGTTCGTGGGTGCCGTGGTGGGTGGTTTTGGTGCTGTTGGGTGGTGCTAGTGGTGGTGGGTTATTTAGTTTAAATTTGCTGAAATTTGTTTTTTTTTTTTTTGGGTTGGATTAATACTTAAGTATATGCCCTTATTTTTCA